AAAAAGGGTTTGAGATGTTCTACCCCCCGCCGCATCTTCTTCTTTCCTTCTTCACTATCGCAAAATACCTCACTAAAATACCGTTGGGTTCATGCTGTATCATAAACAAAATAAAATCTGACCGTCGGGCGTGAGATTTTGCAAACCTTGTGATTATGGCATCAATGCTTCTTTCCCAAAGTCACGATGCACATGCATAAGAGCAAGTCCTGTCTAGTGATCTCTGTACTTCCGGTGGGCCCTTTACAGGTGCAGCTGGGCGATACGGGTAGACGCACTGTTAAAAAAAATTACTGAAAATTCATAATTTTTTGTAAGAAGTCGATTTACTTACATTCAGTCTGAATTTTCATCCCAAAAATTTCGTATTCGAAGTTTTAAAATTTTTCAGACGACTTTGGTCTGAATTTTCAGATCAATAGTTGTATGAAAAATGATACCAGTCGGTCTATTTAATCACCTAAGTTGTCCGAAGAACATAAACAGCCGCACGAAAATTACCTCTCTGTAGAGTGGATCACTAATCGGCTAACTTGTGCCATCAGTCTATCATGGACGCTCAGCAAATCGTCTCGATCCAAAAATCGGGTAAACCGCAGCAGGCACGTCCTTGCAAAGGCATTGGAGATGCTAGAGGTGACTGCTAAAGTCCGGGGGAGAGCGGCCTTACCCCAAACCACGCGTCGACCCGGGGCCATGCGCGAGAGGAAATTGTATTCTCTGTTGTTTAGCTTATATGCACTTATTACATCAATCTTGCTTTGGTGAGCTTATGCCCTTTAGACAACACTTAATATAAGTTTGAAACAAAAATTCACCCACTTTCGCCTTTAAGTAGCAATTTTAGCCCAGAAGATCAGCCATGCGACATAGCGCCACCTAGGGGAAGGCAATAAGTATCCATTTCGGAGTTTGAAACATTCGGGTTTGCTCTACGACACTAAACGTAAATATTATTTGAAATACAACAGTGGCATTGATAAAGTTTTTGAGAGAGCCGAAAACTGTAGAAAGTGGACGGCGTTTTTTCACCAGTTTTCCGACTTCACAAGTATGAATTTAGTTTTCTGACGACAATGTACAAAACTTGATAGCCATCGCTTTAAATATTCAGACTTGCTAGTCTGAATTCAAATTTCAGACAAAGGTCACACTTTTCAGACCGTTAGTTTTTAATATTCGTACCATTTTATGAATTTACGATTCAGACCCACCAAGTAAGACGAAATCTCTAAATTTTTTCATTTTTTTTTTTAACAGTGCGGAGCATGAGAAGCCTTCGCCCCGATGCAGCTTTGGGGGTCAAAAACGCGCCTGCGCCGCCGTGAGGCTCAAAACCCCCGATGGCAGCTCGCCACTGGGCAAGACCTTTGCCCATTACTATTTTGGCTGAGCGATAGCGAAGCCCTTGCCGTGTTTGGGCGCTCCGAAAAGTGACTGGTCGTGCGTCTGTCTGTCTGTCTGTCTGTATGTAATCACTCACGTTTCTGCAACTACTGAACGAATAGTATCCAAATTTCACCCCCTGATGTCTCCTAAACATCCTACAGGGGAGTTTATCTCAGTTTAAACAATTATCATCGTTTGAAATATTAAAAAATCATTTTGAACTAGGTAATTAGCGTGTTTGGGTTTGGTAGCAGTGTGTGGCTGCCCAATTTCTCATACCGGCTCCCGCGCTTGCAAGCCGTCTCCCGACGGGACGGCACTTATGCAAAAAAACAAACTAAAGAGAAAAGGGGGTTCTCAAATAGGTACTGAGATATTTTTTTAACATTCTAGAATGATTGAAACCATTCCGGGGTGTCAACAGAGGAAAATACGGAAACTAAATGTGAGAAGGGTTTTAGGGTGTTTCGTTCCCCTCTTCCCCCTCCCCGTCAAAAGGGGAACAGGTCAGTGCACTGGTTTAGTTGTGGATAGTAAGAATGTTTTCTTTGCCTTTGTGGCATCTAGATTTTATTCTCTCTGATACTATCCAAATTTTTTAAAATTCATAGTGAATAAAGTCAGGTAAATGCATGAATAATTTTTGTTGAAATTCGAAGACTTTTAATTGTCTTGGTTTTCTGGGGGAATGACACTCTATTGCAAGCTGCAAGGTAACAAAAATTTTCTAGTACTTACATCTTTTGGATTAAAAGAATCCATAAATAGATGTATTTTGTGCAATAAATAATCCCCACTCTAAAAAAAGTTACAGAATTTTGTATCTTTTTTGATGCAGGATTTTGTATCCCCTGCATTGGTTACAAATATTTGTATAAGTGATATAGAATTTTGTATCAGATGTGCCGGTTACAGAAAAATGAATCATTTAGGAGCTTGATACAGAAATTTGTTACATGAAGGGTACAATATTATTTTTGTAACTAAATGATACAGAAAATTGAAAACTGGATACTAAATTCTGTATCAGAGATTAAAACATAATGTTTTAACGGCAAAATTAAACCCAGCAGTGCCCATAGAGACAATTTAAAACTTAGAGTTTTCATGTGCTTTTATTTTCCCGACTCTGAATAAGAGATTCAGTCCGTGTATGCTTGGCGGGAAGGGCCCCTCCGTCCCTTACCACGCGCGCCTCAGGTCCCGGCTACCTGCGCCGCTCCCCCCCACGGCGTCCGCACAGCGCAGTTGGTAGCGTGGCGGGCCCCCAAACCCCAGATTTTTGGGGGTTTCGATTCCCGACTTCTCAGAGTACATCTGGGAAAGTCGTGACTCGAAGGATGGCAAAAGGACCTTCTATCAGCCCCCCACGGAGACTACGTTCGAACAAAATTCTCTTTTTGAAGCTTGATTTGGAAGAATAACGACTTTTTTAAAAATTTTTGTAACCGTTACGAAATTCTGTAACCAAGTTACAAACAAAAAAATTGTATCCATCGTGATACAAATTTCTTTAACACATGTTATTGAAAAAGCTGCGTAACCATGTTACAAAAATCTGTACTGATTTTTTTTAGAGTGCATATATTTAGTGCTAACAGATTTTGAACTGATATTGGGTTCAATGAGACGATTCAAATTTTGAGCGGTGGGTGACTTGGTAATTGCTTTTAATGGGACGATTCCTTCACTTCACCAAAGCTTGTGTCCGACAACTGGAACCCAAATATTGGTAATGATTTGAAAAACTGGCTTTCTGAATGTAAGCCCAATGTTAAAATTTTACTGTTTCTTTTACTCTAAAGATAAAATTACGAGGCATGAATAAGGTAAATTAAGGTGGGTATTGAGCAACAAGTGGCCTCTGCATTAATTCATGAGACGATTCACTGAATTCGACAAAACTTTTTTTCCGTCGAGTGCTTCAGATCAGCCTGCCCTAAACTGAGTCAATCAATAAAAACTATGATACATATTTCCCGTCTATATTGTTCAATTCAATGGTTTTTAAAAGAAAGAATGACAAAAAAGGGTTCTCAAATAACTAATAAATTTTTGAATTCATAAATTTGAAGAAAAAAATGTATCGAATAGTGAGTCAAGCAGACGAGTAGTAATTTTAAACATTCAATGTGGCAATGGAATGTTACTCCCGAAAGGGAACCCGTGAAAAGCAGATTTGAAAAATAATTTTGGGAAAGTCGGGGGGAAAATTTTTTCTGGCATAAAAATGTCAATTTTAAACCTGGAGCAAGGGGGGGCGGAATGGGGATTTTTATTTTTCCGGCCCCCTTTTAAGGGAAACCCTCATTGAGCCTGTGGGGTTCCCTTTCTTAAAACCTTTTTGAAACCCCAATTCGGAAAAAATCCTAAATATGTTTTTTTTAGAAGCAAAAAAGAAACTCATTTTTTGACCATATTTTTTTACGTTTCCGGTTTTCAGGCCCCGTACATGCTACGACCATATCCCAGGTTCACACGATAGCGACAATTTTAAAAAACATTTTGCCGCAAACCACAATCAATTATCTCAATTTTTTCGCCCGC